GAGGAGGAGGAGGAGGAGGAGGAGGAGGAGGAGGAGGAGGAGGAGGAGGAGGAGGACGACAAGGAGGGAGACGACCAGGAATACGAGGCGGACGAGGGCGACCCCTCGTGTCCTCCCCAGGGACCCAGACGACGATTGTCTTGAAACGGACGCGGCGTTGGTGTTTGTAAAACCGTTCGAGGGCCCTCAACACGACCACCCGCGGTGAGAAACGGGTCTCCAGGAAGGGGTCGAAAGATCTGGGGCCCGCGCACGGGGAACCCATGATTTGGCTGACCTCACACACGTGATTCGGGACAACGCTCTCGCGCCACCAATGGGCACGTGGGACCGTCGGCGCCGCTGGGCTGGCCCAAACTGAATCCTCTCCGTGGACCAACCTGGCTAGAGCGCCGCCCCAGACAGGCACGTCGTGCATGATGGAAGTTACGAGACCTATGTTGCTTCACATCAGCAATTTGGCCCCTGCTGACTTTTTTCAAAATAATATATTGGGATGAAACGCTGCCGCTGGATATATCGAGCACAGTTGATCACAACACAAACGCTCCTGCGATCCCCGCCAAAATGGCAAGAAATGGTAAGCTCAGATCCGCATGGCTACATTGCAACCGAACCGCTTGACCACCATCTCGACCGAACTGGCGGAATTCGACCACGCGTCCGACAAAATACGTTCGACGAGGGATGCGCTGCACAATGCCCCGGCCACGGGCAGCGCTACGAGGGAAAGCGGGCCCTTCGATGTGTCACTTTCAGCGCCCGTGAAAGTGACACCTCCCAGGGCCCACTTAAAGAGCACCAGAAAGGCTCCAAGAAGGCCCCGAGAAGGCCCCAGGGCGGCACCAAGAGGGCTCCCAGAGGGACCCAAGAGAGGCCCCAAGAAGGGCCCAAGAGGGCCCTCCGCGGTGTCACTTTCAACGCCCGTGAAAATGACACCTCCCAGGGCCCACTTAGGGCCTCAGAAAAGCTCTAAGAAGGCCCCGAAAGGGCCATAGAGAGCCGCCCTGGGTTCAACTCCGCGTGGCGGAGTTGGAAGCGATAACTTCAATACCCTACTGGAGGCCTCTTAGGGGCCCTAAGACGGCACTGAAGAACCCCATCGGGGCTTTTTCAAAGGCAGAGGAGGGCGCAAAAAGGGGCCTCAGTGAGCCCCTGGTCTAACTCCACCTGGCGGAATTGGAAGCGATATCGCCCGGCGCCTTCATGGAGCCGCTCGGAGCTTCCAAGACGGCTCCAGAAGGCCCCAGGAGGGCCCCAAGAGGATCGAACGACGATTCCTGGAAGTGCACCAGTGAGACCCTTGTTGACCTCCGCCTGGCGGAGTTGGAAGCGACAATTTCCAGTGCCCTCTTGGGGCCTCTGGGGGGCCCCTCAGAAAGCTTTGGGGAGCACAGTGAAGGCCTTCGCAGGGCCGCGTGAGAGCCGTACCAGGGCCGCATGTGTGCGCGGATGGGGGCGACGAGTGCTGACGCTGACGAATATGAGAATGATGAGGGCGATCAAGGCTGGCCCGAAACAAATCCTGGCGCCATTGCAGGCCGCCGATTATCGGCCACGCCGCCAGGACGACGCCAAGCAACAAAACGACACCAACCAACAAACCGACACCAACCAACAAACCAACAAATCGACACCGGCCAACAAAAGGACACCAAGCAACAAAACGACACCAAGCAACAAAACGACACCAACCAACGAAACGACACCAACCAACAAAACGGCACGAATCAACAAAACGGCACTGACCAACCAAACGACAAATCACTTCACGACACCAATGAACAACGCGAAATCCACCGACCGCCAACCAAGCATAAAATCAACCGACACAACGAAACCAACCCATAGAGCCAGACCAACCACTGGATTCGTGAGTCGGGGTAGTCATGGAAGTGAGCCGCTGCAGCCCGCGGAAGCCATTAACAGTGACCAGAGCACCGCAATGCAGCAACGTCCCCGGGCGGCGGCGGGAGTCTTGGATCTCCCGCGGGACTGGAGCGTAGCGAGTTCGTCCTGGGTCCGGTTTAGTGAAGTGAAGAATTTCGGGGTGCTTGCATGGCAAAAACCTTCACTTCACTAATCTGGGGCCCCTGGAGCCCCAGGGCGTTTCAGGTCCCCTCGCTGTCTGGGTAGTCCAGGGGGCGCAGTGGCGGCTTACCAGAGGCCCTGTTCCCTAGCCTCACTTGCTTTCACCCGTGGTGCTCGACGGCCGTCTCGGAGCTGTCTTGTGGCGGTCTGGGGCAATCCCGAAGCCTCTTGGAGCCATCCCAAGGCCCCAAGGCGCCACCAATGGGGGCCCCAAGAGAGCTCCCAGAGGGCCCCGAAAGGCCTACAACAGATTGCACGTTCGCGCGAATTCTTTGTACCACTTTGGGGGGTCCCTCTTGGGGCCCTCGGGGAACGTTCTTGGGGCCCTCCGAGGGCCCACTGGGGCCCCGGGAAGGCCCCAAGAACGCTCCCAGAGGGCCCCAAGAATGCTCCAAGAGGGCCCCAAGAGGACCCCCACAAGTGACAAAAACTATTTGCATGAGGGTGCAACTTACTCGGCGCCTCTTGGGGCGCTCTTGGAGCCGTGCTGGGCGCCACTCGTGGACGACATGGGCTGGGCGACGGCATGTGGACCCTGTCGCTTGGGCCATCGGGGGTGCTCCCCAATGGGGCCACGAAGCTTGTGAGCGTATGACGGAATGGGCTGGGCGGCGGCCTGTGGGCCCTGCCTGTGGGGCCGTCGGTGTAGCTCCCCGTGGGGCCACGAAGCGTGTGAAACGTATGCCGAAATATGCTGGGCGGCGGCCTGGGAAACCTGCCGCTGGGACCTTTTTGTTGGTGGAGCTGCCTATAGGGGCACGAAATGTTTGAGGGTGTCATCAATGTGGCCTGGGCGACGGCATGTGGACCTTGCCGCCGGGACCTCCGATGAGCTCCTCATGGGGACACGAAGCGTCTGAGGGGCGTGCCGACATGGGCTGGGCGGCGCACTAAGGACCCTGCCGATGGGGCCTTCGGTGGAGCACCTCACAAGGCCACGAGACTTGCGGGGGATGTGGCGAAGCAGAGACGCGGGGGAACAAGGGGGGTGTTTTGATGATGTTGATGAGGATGGTGGTGGTATTGATGATGGAGACGGCGAGAATGCTGATGATGCTGATGATGATGGTGATGGCGACGATGACGATGGACGATGACGACGGAGACACGCGGAGAGCAGGGGCAGATACGCGAAGAGGGAGGACGAGGGAGGGGGCCGGAAGGAATGACGCGGGGCGGTGTCTCTTCAAAACGAAGAACCAACACTGCAATATGGTAGGAAATTTCTGGACGACCCCCCCCCGTGGCGCGGTCAATGTCCGCGACAGCATCGCTGGCACTACGAACGAAATGATCGAACTCTTCCTGCGACGTTACCCGCGGGGTGGATCAGCCAGGGATGGGGGTCGAAACCGCCCCAGCGCAAAGCAAATGTACAATCCTGAGAAACCCCAGCCCACATCAACCGATCCGCAACAAGCACGCAAGCCTTTGACGACCCCAACGCACGTGACATCGCATAACGCGACGCGCCATCGAAAACGTTCGACGCGCGGCCTCGGAATGACATCGGGCTTCATGGAACGTCGAATGGAAAACGTGAAAAACCGCCCTGTGGGGTCCGAGACCCAAAATTACTGATGTGAAGGATTTCGGCTCGTCGAGAAGTGGGCAGTTCAACCCAGGCGGCGAGCTGACCCGACGCCCTGCGCTCCAGAGCCAGCGCCTGGTAGACGCAGGCGCTTTGCACCACTGAATCACGGCCCTTCTGACCAAGCGCCCCTTGCAGCCTAGGACACGTGCACCACGGGCGAAGAGCGAGAACAGAACGACGCGCACTTCGCCAACCAAGCAACAACCAACCAACCTCCAAAGACGAAGGAAAGGAAGAGACGACACGCTTTCCCCACGTCAAAATCCGCAAACGGCCCATCGGCCAGAGGCCGTAAGACTCCTCTGGCCAACGCCCGTAGAGTTCGCAGCACCGTAGAGGCACTACCAAGCAGTGAGATTGCCAGGAGGCCTGGAGGCCCTCAGGGGCCAACCTGGACACAATCCTGCCCTCCAAACCGCTACGCACTGTGGGGTCTGTGAAAACACTATGTTGGAGGTCTGAGGCGGCGGGGCAGGACAAGGACGAACAACACACACACACACCTGCACAACAAGCAACCACATGTGAGCCTTCTCCGTGCCAGTGGAGCAGGCCCTGCGACACGGTCGGGGGCTCAGCTCAGAAATCGCGAGCGGGCGGTGGGGGTAGCGTTTAGATGCTGTCCATCCATTTCGGCTGAGCAAGGCGCCCGATGCACGGTTCGTGAGCTCCGTGGGCGTTTGCCAAAGAATGGTTCCCAATCCAGACCGTCGATCGTCAAACCCTGCTTCTGCGTGCGATACCTGGCCGATGCGCGCTCTGATCAAGATTCCGAGGCGGATCCAGCCGTGGCGACGAGGGCACCCCATGAAGCCCAAAAAGGCGGCACGGGTGGCCCTCGTCACCAAGCAGAGGGAGATCGTCGGTATCGGTGGGCATCTCTCCCTCGCTCTGCGGCCGGCTTCCTTCTCCGCATAACTGTGCACGGGCCAAATCTGCATTGGCGTCTTCACTGCGTTCTATCGCAACCGGCCTCCGGGCAAACATCTCCCTTGCGACTTCTGAAGCCATCAACTGCCAGTGCGGCCCTAGGCTTCGCAAGGGCGGGCAGCGCGCCTGTCACTCGTGCACAGGTCGCTCAGACTAGGCTCGGATCAGATGGGGGCGGAGGATTGCGCCCCATCGGCGAGGGTATCTGCTATGTCGGGCTTTGGATTCCTGGATCGCGCCGCTGCGCATCGCCGATGCATCGGCAAAGCGGCGCGACCCTCCAACCCCATCTCTACGTTACTACGGCCCCGCTAGTGCGGCCCAAACCCTGTCTCTCATGGGTGCCGCCGCCGCGCGCCCCCTGCTCCCTGCTCCCAGGCGGGACCATGCCGAGCGGGGTCGCCGCGCACCAAAGGGTGACTTGTGCGCGCGGACCGAGATGCGACCTGCACTCTCTCAAGGCCCCGAAAAGCGAGGACTCTGACAAGCCAGGGTGTTGGGGCACCACAGAAAGCTGCCGCCATTGGTCGAATGATTCTCCATTCATCGCTGGAAGATCCTAGCTTGCGATGTCCTGATTTTCGAAGACCCGACTCCCGAACGCGCTCGCTCCGCCGGCCATCCTATTTTTGGGCGGCACGCACAGGGGGTGGCGCGAGGGGATGGGCCTTCCGAGACTTCGGGGAGATCTTCCAAGAAGGTCCCTGCCTACTGAGAGCCACCATGCCTTCTCAAAAGGCAGCCCCCGTGGCGCCACCCCTTTGTGCGCGCCGCCAGCCAACGCGGCCCGATGCAGCCCTCGTCTCGCTCTCTTGCTCAAGCCGCTGCCGCAGGCCCTTCCCCGTCTGAGCACGCTGACGAGGAGGAATGGAGGAGGCAAGAGCCACGGAGGGGGTGGGAGGAGGGGAACGAGGAGGACGAGAAAGAGACGAGGAGGCCGAACACAACACATACCCGCACGTGGCAACGAGATGAGACACGTCTCCCTCTCTCTCTCTCTCTCTCTCCAATCCAGGGGCAGCGTGATAAGATATGCCCGACGTCGAGAGGCGTGCGGTCCATGGCTGCGGGAGCAGAGCACAAACAGGAGCGAGTACAGGCAGGGAGAGGAGGGCCGCATTTTCAGCTGAAAGGGGCCAGTGGACTATCACAGAAGAGCTCGGAGAGAGGAGGCTCGCGAACGACTGCCGACTTACCTGAGGCAGAAGATGCCTGCTGCCCTCTGTCCTCCACTCCCCCCCTCTCCCGCGTCCGCTCTCTCCCCACCCTCTCCACTTCCGCACCTGCCTCTCCCTCCGCCGCCTCCACAGTCTTCCTCCCCCCTCCTCCCTCCCACCTCTTCGCCGCCATGACCCCCTATTCGCCTCTTCATCCGCCTCCGCCTCCCTTCCCGCCTCCTCCTCCTCCTCCTCCTCCTCCACCTCCCTTCGCTGTCCGTCCCCGTGCCCTCTGGCACGCCGAAGCGTGGTAGCATGCCAAGAACTACCTGATACTGTTTATGTAATCTTCTAGAAATGCCCCCCACCCCACCTCTTCCAATAACGTTTCGCGTGCTCCCTGCCTTCCCGAGGCCACGTCTCCTTTCAAAAGCAGCAGATCCGCGCTCCCGAAGTCCACACCCCTCATTCAAAAGCCAGGGGCTCAGCTACGACCCCTCGTAATAAACATTTTGCTCGCGCTCCCGAACGAACTTCCAAGACGGCCGAGGCAGGCAGCCAAGGCCGCCAAGATGGACCAACATGCCTTGCCTGTTCAGGTTCCCTGTAACTCCAGACTGCCCTGCGGCTGTGCAGGCTTCCGAAATGATCCTAACAAAGCCCCCGAACTTGCCAACTCTATTGCTAATCCTCAAATGTGGCCTCAAAACCTAACAGACCCGCAGACGGCCCACGACGGCCCGAAGCTGAACCAAGAAAACCTGTGGAAGGAAACACAACAGCATTAGAGAACACGTAGACGACACACGACGGCCCAAAATCGGCCGCAAGACACCCGCCGAAACGGAAAAAGAGGGCCCCACAACGTCCCAAGAGAGCACAAACACGGTCTCCTGCTCGCCCCTCCCGCAAGCCATCGCCACTAATTGTGCTGGGCTGGCACGGTGGCGGGACTTGCCGCAAACTGCTGGGTACTTATGACTTCCTGCCGCTGCCTTTGCCCCTTGCCCTCGCGTCGCCATCTGTCCCCCGCACAATATCCGCTCCCCTCTCCTCGCCACACCCGCGCGTCCATGAGGGCAGCCGGCGGTGATTGACAAGAGGCGCTTTCGACCCACACATACAAACCAACATATGTAAACGTTCGTATCGATACGTGTAGTTGCATGTCCATATGTATATACACATAAACACGTGCACACACACACATACATACGCATTCCGTGTGTATGTGCATATCCGCCACCGTACCTCTGGGCAAGGAGAGGGCGTGTCCTCAGAATCCTTTCCGGACCCAGAAATGCCAAATCTCTCGAGGCTTCCCGCGTGCCCCCTGAGTTCTGGAAAGACTTGTCGCATGGCTTTCTCGGGCCTACGAAGGCCCCAAGATGGGCCCAAAGGGACCCAAGAGGCTCCCAAGACGGCACAAGAGGGCCCCTAGTCGCCCAACGATCGCCCTAAGACGCCCAAGATGGCCCTAGGACCGCCCAAGAGGTCTCCAAGACGCCAAGGGGGCCTCCAAGAGCCCTCCTGGAAGGGCTCCAAGAGACAACAATCAGTAATTCCCCACTGGTCCTCTAAGAATCTGGGCAGTTTCGCCTTTCCTGTTTTCCGACGCTCCACGACGGCCCAAGAGGCCCCCAAGACGGCCCAATAAGACTCCAAGAGGGCCTAAAGACGGCCTACCGCGCCCCAAGACGGTCCAAGATGCGCCCAAGACGGCCCACCAAGACGGCCCCCAAAGGGGCCCAACATACGGAACACGAAGCGAAAATCCGAGCCTTCCGCCCCAAGAGGCCTCCATGAGGGCCCAAGAGGCACCAAGAGGACCCGAAGAGGCCCCAAGAGGCCCCAAGAGGCCCCCAAGATGCCCCAAAGAGGCCCCAAGAGGCTCCCAAACAGCCCCCAAGAGGCTTCAAAGTTGCCTCCAAGAGGCCCTCGAAAGACGTTCCACGAGATCCAAACGTACAACCAATAGGCTTCATACCCACAACTCAGGCACAGTGGCGGGATGGGCCAAAGGTATTGTTTGTTGTGTCTCTCTCTGTCTCCCTCTCTATCCTTCTCTCGCCCTCTCAATCCTTCTCTCTCTCTATATATGTATGTGTGTATGCACGAGCACATGGCCATGAAACGCCGCAAATGCAATAGCCAAACAATTGCGGATAAGAGTGAGGGGCGGCGGGGTCGTTGGCAGTCTGCGATGCTCTGAGGAAACTCAACGCAATCGCAATATTTTAGATGCAATCAACCCCATCCGTCTTCCAATCCTCGCTCCCCTTCCCGTTCTCTTTGTTCTTCTGCCCAAGCCCCTTCCCACAGCCTCCTCCTTCTCTTCCCCCTCCCCTTTCCCCTGACCCACCCTCCCCCCTACTCCTCCCCCTCCTATACCTCGCCCCCTCTCCTGTGCCAACGGCCAGAACCACATGCCGGACACAGCCTCGTGAGGCCTCCTGGTGCCTCCTGCCTCCTGGGGCCTCCTGGGGGCTCCTGGGCGCTCGTGGGGCCGCCTGGGGTCTCCTGGGGACTCTCAGGGCCTCCTGGGACCTCCTGGGGTCTCCTGGCGAGCCCTCCTCGGGCCTCCTGGGTCGCTCTGGGATCTCCTGGGCCACCCTGGGGCTCCTGAGCACTTCCTTGGAGCCTCCTGGTGCATCCTGGGGCTTCATGTGGTCTCGAGGAGCCTCCTATGCTCGCCTGGTGCTTCCTGGGACATCTTGGAACTCCATGATACGTCCTGGGGTTTCACGGACATGCTCCTTTGTTGTGCACGGTTTGAGCATACATACACATCCACATACTTGATGACATACACATATACGAAGCATGCCATACACATTGCTATATTATACCTATGCGCACATCCATGCTGCTATACATAAGTTTGTACACAAATACATGTATTCACTTGTATATCCACAAATATATGGTCGTACATATTCAAGTATGCGTGTACACAAAGATGTGATGCACGTGAGAGTAACAGTACACACACTCATACATACATATGTCATGTACACATACATGTGTGTACATACATATAACACGCATGCATGCATGCATGTATGCGTGCACGCATGTATGGACGCATGTCTGCATGTATATATAATATAGATATATGTATGTATGTTTGCATATATGTATGTATGTAGGTATGTATGTATGTATGATTGCGTGTATGTATGCATGCATGCATGCACGCACGCACGAACGCATGCACACTACTCTACGTATGTGTGTATGTATGTATGCATGTATGTATTCATGCATGTATGTATGTATGTATGTATGCATGCATGTATGTATGTATATATGTATGTTTGTATGTATGTATGTATGTATGTATGTATGCATGTATGCATGTATGTATGAAAGTATGTATGTATGTACGTATGTGGGTATGTATGTATGTATGTATGTAAGCATGCATGCAGTCATGCATGCATGCACGCATGTTTGTATGATGTATGTGTGTCTACAGATTTCACCTAAAACCACATGCGCCTGAAATGAACGTGCGAGCCTCGCCAAAGACAACGGTCAGAAAACCAAGAGCCAGGGGCGATTTGTCAACATCCCGCCTTCTATCGCAACGTAGGAGGGCCAAATATTCAGAGAAACTAACAAAAACGCACCGAAACAGCTTTTATCAAAAAACGTGCCCTTGCCGGTTCTGGCAGATCGGGGAACCGAGGATGCTCTGGAGGGTACTCGAACAACTTCGGAGGGGCAGCTGACGACGCCCACCCAGCAGCCTGCAAAACATCATTTGTAGAGGATACGCCCCCCCTAAGATGGACATCATTATTATGAGGAACAGCATACAACCTTTATTTTTGAAGGCAAATCCATATAACATGGCTCTCCGTTATATGGGGATCGATCCACATAAAACTAATGCCAATGATTGTTAGATCCTCGCGCCAAGACGGACGGCTCCAAGAGCACCCAAGAGGTGCCAATACATCGAATTGGTGCTTGGGGCTCTCTCGTGCAAGATGGTCTCAAGATCGCCTCCAGGTCACCGAGAAGCGCCCAAGAGGCCTCCAGAGGGCCCCAAGAGGCATCCAAGCGATGTCAAGGAGGCCCCCCCGAAAGCCCAAACTGGCCTTCCAAGTAAAATCCAATATATCTCAATCTCCTCCCGTTTTAGTCGCCAATCGCGCGCTCTTCCGCCCACGCGTCCCGCAGGATGCACGGCTTAGTGGTGGTGTCCCCTAAAATGCCTCCCCATTTTATGGGGCAGGTCCCCCTAAAATGCATCCCCGTTTCTTGGGGACCGGTCCCTCTAAAATGCCTCTCTGTTTTATGGCGACCAGTCCACCCAAAATGCCTCTCCGTTCGATGGGGGCCGGTCCCCCTAAAATGCC